CACTGTGAATGTGACCGAGGCATTCCGTCCCCTGTATCGGGTTCGTGGTCGACTATCAAGGCAGGTTCGCTGTCGTATGCTATCCACAGCGGAAGCGGTAGGAATTCGGCTGCACCACCCCCGTCTGCGTGCCCAAAATCAATTTGTGCAGGCGCTTAAGCTCCCCTGCACACCCCATATTCCGAGTGATTCCAAAGATCGGATGACCTAACAATTATGTGATCACTGAGAATTCCATATCCGGTCTCAAGATGAACTTAGCCCCAGAAAACCCATGAGGTTATTTTCCCTTTCCCGAAACATTTGTTTGCGTTTTTATGGTTGAATACTGATCTATATATAAATGGCGCAATATTTATTGTGATGCATTTTGCATGACTAGGAATCGCTGAAAACGAGCTTGTTCGCCACTCCTTGTTCTATGTGAAAAGTTAAATAGGTTCAAACGAACATAAAAAGCTTGATGTTTGGTGAAACTTAGCAAATGCGTTCATAGTTTGATGAGGTACCAAACATTTGAAATGGTATCGAAGACTAACGGTTTATGAGGCTAGCATGTTTGCCATGAAATAACGTCAAATTGGAGAAGTTATAAAGACGTAAATAATGGTAAAAGTGACAGAACGGTAACGAATGCACCATAATGAACCAATCGTTTGTTGTATAACGAACCCAGTAAAGCAATGCCGAAGCCCAAGAGCTGTTCCAAATTGAAAATTGTTTTGATGCCATACTTGGAATCGGATAAACAATTAAACATTATGCTCGTATTGTGAGTAAACTTTAGGTTAAGCAGAGGCCTTTAAACAAGTGCCTAATACCCACAGAACGCGATGACTGCACTATGGGTTAGGTAGGTCTTAGTTATGCTTCCTTGGTAGGCTACGGTTACTAAAGTGAGTAGTGGCTGTCAGCAGGTCCTGCTTGTTCACAACTCGGTTGTGTATATGGCCAGATTGCGACTTGGTGTAAAGCAATTATTACCTTGAACAGTGAACATGGCCAAGTGGGTAGCGTTAGATTTTCAGATAGAGGACCTCGAGATCAGCCTAGGTAGTAGCTAGAAATATTATTCACATTCTAACAACACCTCTAGCTTGCTCTTTTTCAATCTATGTTATTTGGTGTAGCCCTATTTGCTTTTCCGTTCCATCCCATTATTTCCTTCATTAGTCAACTTAATTGGGTTGCACAAAGACAGCAGCCGATCTTGGTTTATGGAAGTGCGCGGTTGCAAAACGTGAAGTGAATCAACTGATTCTTCCCATCTTACATCCTCGCTCATACCCATAGACTCTTAATTACAACCTCCCCCCGCGGAATTCCTTTTTTACCGTTATAGAATCACGCCTGGGTTGAATAATGTTTAGTGTTCTTTGAATTGAAGTTTGCAACACTACAGCAGAATTAATCCTATTTCGATCAGCACTTTGTTTCTTACCAGGATCATCTGCTGCCGGGACATTTATTAAAAGCAACTGGAAAACTGAAACATTGAGGAGGAACTCAACTTTCGAATTAAATTCATCCACTTGATTTGAAAATCTCTGCCAGTTTCACATTTCATGGTTGAGCTGGCGTCATTAATTATGAATCTAGACAGAACCGTGTGCATCTGATAATCTTACTTTTATATTTAAATGAACAAAATGAAGGAGACAAGGAAATGACTTCAGTTCACGCCATTTTGTTTACCGATTCGCGGTTGGTTGTGAAGCACTTTAGCGTACCATGTATCACATGCTTCGTCAAATCCATGGATCGATAATGAGATGCAACAGAAATAAGAAGTAAAAAAACACAGGTGTCTGGAAAATTGCATTCTGCAATGTTCTACAGCCCACATGTCGGTTGATTGCACGAAGAGGCCCTAGAGACGGTTGTTGTTCGATTGATCTGTTTCGTTTTATTTGCAAACATGCCAAGTGTGGATCTGATGTGGATTGTTTTTACCGACTGTTTCTTCTGCTATACAATTTTCACGGATGACTTATTCATCCATAACATATGTTTTCGGTGAATTCCTTTTCAAGCCTTTACAATCACATTTATACGAAACAAGTTCGATAAGGTCAAATAAAACAAAAACAAAAAGGTGAATGACTCATGTGTTCGGCAATGAGCCCAAGAGAACTCTAAATTTGTTGTGCGCAGTTTCGACCACATAACCAAAGTGATTACGTCATGGTGTTAC